GAGGGAACCAGAGGAGTACAGATAGTCTGCTTGTGTGGGAAGGCAGGGGTGGGGTAGTGACATGGGGGCTCCAAAAGGACAGATCTCTCCCCACACCCCAATGCTGAGCATCCTCAATATTCAAATACCCCTTCCCACTCCCAGAGAAGGGAGGCTATTGGGGGGACAGGGAAGGTTAAAATGCAAACAGTCCAGCGCACTGGAGATAGCTAGGGTGAGTGGTGATGGTGGAAGGTTCGCTCCTGGAATATCCCCAACCCCCTGCACTGACACCTCCTTTTGGGATAAGCAAGAGAAAGGGGGAGCCCCTGAGAGCTGGGAAACTGGGTGGTCAGTGTGTGAAATGGGGGAATGGGACCTCAAAGACCTGGGGGGCACCCTGGGGAGAATGGGGGTCCTGAGAACTGGGAGGCTGGCACCTGGGAGGCAGAGGGGCTTCCTGGGAGCTGGGGTATAGGGAGGGTCCCCCTGGGACCTGGGTGGAGGGGGAGCTGGAAGCCCTGGGAGGCCCTCTGAGAGCTGGGACATGGGGTCAGGAAACCACCTCCCCCATACTTATCTCTTTCTCTTGCAATTTCAGCTTCCTTCCTCTCCCAAACCGAAAGAGGCCAGCAACTTCTAGTTCCCATTGGCCGGCTGAGATGCCACACTCACCTTCTATTGGGCAGCACTGCTTTCATTCAGGCCACCCATGGAAGGAGGAATGGCCCAGGCTGGGACAGTCCCAGAGAGTGCAGGGGAAGAGCTCATCGGCTTGCAGAGTCAGAGGTGGGACTGAGAGGTGGGCTGGGAAACCAGGTGTGGTGGCAAGCAGGGGGCCATCTGCTCCGGAGCAAGGAGGTGGGTGCTCCTGTCATGCCAGGCTGCACTCTGCAGGCAGCGAGGGGGAAACTGAGACCCTTGCCTCTTCACCATGGTACCCACCTGACTACAGCACCGTGGGCGGTTGCCCAGGTCGCTCACCCCTAAGGCCTGCCCTGATGTGAAGCATGGGGTATCAATTCTGACTCATTTAAGGCCAAATTCTCTCCAGACTTATCAGAAGCACTGGAATTTATAAGGAGGAGCTCCCCCTGGGACCTAATGACTCAAACGGACATCTGTGATCATCTCACAGCCTAGTCAATCGTGATCCTCACTGAACCAAGATACAGCAGTCATGCCTACTTGTGATGGATATTGTATGACCACATACACATTTTTTAAAGCTGCAGAGGCCCTTCTCACTCTGAAAGAGAAAGTGAAGCAGACAGAAAACACACCACACAACACATGATCCAGAAAACGTGCTGAAAAGTGTGCCACTGGTGCTTCAAAGATAAAGATAAATGTACACTCTTTTCACACTGGGAGGAGCAAGGCCTTAAGAGCACTGAAGATGCCCTTGCATTAAGATCAGTCTATGAAGCTCAGTGACGTTCCAAAGGGAATGAGTCATCAGTGACTGAAGCTGCTGAATGCCTCTGATGTACCTGTAAGTGAGAACTTGAGCTCCCCAAAAGCTGTGCACCCACTGCCACACAAGCTGCTCTGAAACCTCTGGTAGTATTAGAGATGCAGCTCCATTACTCTAGCTGTTCTGAGGGGACTGAAAGATAGAGGCCTGAAGACTGGTGTGGTTTACACGAGCAGCTCTAAAACAACTCCGTCAGAAGTCAGTGCCTCTGAAGACTAACACAAGGTTGTGGTGTGTTTTGTTTTTAAATTTAAGGAAACTGACACCAGAGCCAAGGGATATAATAGAGTGGGGGAGAGATATGAGGGATGAAATACTTTGATACCTCACATGAGCTAGGATGAACACTGATGAGTAGAGGTCACAGTTGTAGGGTTCCTTTGTCATTGACAACCATCAGGAATGAATTGACTTCTGGAGCATATAGGTATGGCTGGGGGGCAGGAGAGGGAAACAGGGCAATCTAAATATCTAAGCAAGGACAATGTGAAGTGAGCCCAACAGCACAATTTTAAAACTGTGGGTGCTTTTACCAGGCCCAGTGAACCAAAAGAGAGGGATCTATTGAGTATAAAATCTCAGGTCTTAGCAGTTGTGTGCAGTGCACATAAATACAATTAAGGCCACATCTACAGTATTAAAAATAGCCCATTATTTTTGTGCTGCACAAATGTGAATAGCAAAATGCAAATATGCACTAGTAATACTAGAGCATTATTTTACAATCCTAAAATAACAAGAGATAAAAATTATTCCACTATATCACATTCCATATTTTAGTAATATTTCAGATATGAACGTTTTCAGATGCCACACCTTTTATGAACTTGTTTTCTGAGCTGAATCCATACCATTAGCCAATATTTTGCCCTGATTGTGACCGCTGTGTCAAAATCATAGCATTAGTGTTCATGGTAATTGTGAATTTGAATAAAGCCCACACTGAGGCCACCCTGCAGTCGCAGCTCCTGTCCTGTGGAGCTTGGCTTGGCTCTGCTCCCCGCTACGAGCATTGTGACCTGACACATTGTCACAGCACCACTCAGATTTGGCCCATTCATCCCTCCACAGATGGGAGACAGAAGAGCAGCCATGCCAAACCTGAGGGGCACTATGACCACACAGAGCCCCCTGCAGGCTGCCTGTCTTTGCACGCTATTCAGCCCTCTGGCTGAGAAGCTACTAGTCCAAATCCCTTTCAGTTTAACAAAACATTCAAGCATAATCCAAACTACCAAAAAATCAATCTATTCTCTGGGCCCTGCACTTAACCCTTTCCTGGGGTTTCACTGCCTTTCCTCAGTTCTGGTATCAAGCACTGTCCCACTGAGTCTAAAACTTCCTGAGGCCTCTAGCCTCCACCAGTATTTGGCACTTTGGCTCTTTGCAGAAACGACCTACCTGCTTCCTGTGGCTTTCTCCCCAACACTGAACTCTCTCAGCCTATTTATAAGGCCCAGGTGTCTGCTGAGTTATCCCCGGATTTTTTTTGTCCACCCTCTCTGGTTGATAACTATCTAATTTCCACCCATGTGGAGTGAATATGCCCAACTGGCCTTTAACCCTTCTTAACAGTGATGGGGATTCAGTTGCTCACAGGAAGGTATTTTGACTTAACTGTAATTTTGGCGTAACTTCAAGCAGCAGACAGACTTCTCAGGGCTTGCCCACATGGAGACAACACTCTGGAACTATTAGTGCACAGTAGCAGTCCGCATAGCCAGTCAGTGAGCGGTCAGCTAATGTGCTGTAGATTCCTACATGGCAAGCCAGAGTGTGAAGTCTCAGTGTAGAGATGTCCTAAGTCAACAATGTATATTGTCTTCAAAACAAAACAGTAAATGATAGCTGTAATATTGGTCAGAAACCTGGTAGAGCTTTTGCTATAACTGGAAAAATATTTGAGACATTCAAAGATTAAAATCAATTATTTCTAAGAGATACTTAATGATCTCCTTTACTCTATTTACCCTTTTAAACTATTTCAGTTATCCAAATGCCCTCTATACACAACTGATTGATTGCAGTTTCTTGTTTTTACAAGAGCAATATTATACTCCACCGCTAAGAAAAAGTACTAAACTCAAGCATGAAAATAAAACAGATACAAGAAAAAGGTCCCTCTTCAAATGACAATTTATACAAATTATGAAGTAATCATAACTGGCACATGATATAGAAGAAAAGGATGTACAATTACACACAGACAGAAAACAAAACTCATGTACAACTTAGATCTGTTATGTGTTTTACAGTAGTACAATGACCTTATGTGCTAGGTATCATGCTCTCTGCCCTGAAGAGCTTACATTCTAATTAGTTTGGCACTTGGCATAAACACCACACATTTTGCGTTATTATATTCAAGGGAATAAAAATTAAATTGTATAATGCATTTTTTGTTTTAATTCAGTCATTTTTAAAAAGTGTCTCATGATCAGCGTTTATTTCTTCAGAAATTAGTAGTAAGCTCATTCAGGATTATTAAGAATACTAAGCAATTTTCAGCAGTTGATTTCTAAATCACAACATAATGCATTTAGTGTAAGTTAACTGCATATATTAAATTGCCAAACCTTTGGATATTTAAGATGATGCCCTAAGGCTGAAACAGATGTTAGAAGCTTATACACAAAAAGATGATAGGCACTGCAAAAACCACACTATACAGATAGAGCATTTTTATAGGGCTCTAACATGGTGCCCAATTAATGTCTTGACTTGTATAGATTTAAATTTATTATTTTGTGTTCCGAAAGCTCTAAGTAAATTACAAGAGACAGAGTACTGACTGAGTTATAACACCTGAAATCTGTTGATTTCCCTGATGAATCTACAGTGGTATTCCACAGCAAAGCAATGAAAAACTAGGATTAAACATTCCTTGCCTGTTTGCCCATCGTTCACCAGAGTCTATGATTACAGCAGTTGCTCATTTGAACACTGGTCAATTACATCACTATAGGGTAAAGAACAATATTTGGAGGGAGTGATAAAAATTTAGCAGTTTGTCAAAAATTCTTAACCTATTTTACCACTATTAAAATCAGACTAAACAACATACCGTATATACTCGCTCATTATCCCGTTCGTTTATAAGCTGACACCCCAAGATGGTTAGGTAAAAATAGCAAAAACTGTATGACCCTTTCATAAGCCGACCCTATATTTCAGGGGTTGGCAAACTTTGGCTCCCGGCCGTCAGGGTAAGCCGCTGGCAAGTCGGGCTGTTTTGTTTACTTGGAGTGTCTGCAGGCATGGAGCCCCTCAGCTCCCTGTGGCCGCGGTTTGCTGTTCCCAGCCAATGGGAGCTGAGGGGCTCCATGCCTGCAGACACTCCAGGTAAACAAAACGACAATGTATTAGATGTTCAATTCAATGATTCCATAGAGTTTAAAATCATCAAATTTTGGTGTCGACCCATTTATAAGCCGACCCCCGCTCTTTGATGCGTCACTTTTTTACCAAAAATATTCGGCTTATGAACGAGTATATACGGTATATTACAAAACACTAGTTTAGTTAAATAAAAACCTTTACCTACATTAGAGTAATTTCCACCCTCTGGGCTTGTTCTAGTTCTTCCTCAGGATCCTTGAATCCAGTAAATGAGTAGTAAGTCTTGTCCCATTTGATAGGCCTGTAAAACGTCCCTTTTACTTCTTTGTGAGGCTGAGAGTTCACGCTTTGGACATGCTCAGTAGATAAGCTGCAGGAGTTGAGAATGTCCAATACTGTGCTTAATAAGTCCCTGGTGTGCAAAGTAAAACTGACGGCTCGAAAACCTATAAAACGCAACCCTCAAAACAATTAATATTGTATTCAACTGAATAGCTGAGCTTTTAGATGCATTCACATTGTTTCATTCTTGTCTTAAAGCTAAAACAAACCATACATGTATTATATGATAAATTTCAAAGTGAAATTATAACATTTATTTAACAAGTACTGTAGATTTCAAACTATTATCATGGCAGAAGGCATCAGAATATAGTTTAATATTTACAACTGTACAAGTCCAGAGCTATAACTACTAGGATATTTCAACTATTTGGCTCAATGGGTGAATCTGAAGCTTATCTGCAATTGTGACAAATAGAAAATAAAGATGACGGAGGTGCAAACACTTCTATTGCTTTAACTCCAACAGTTTTGTCCGAGAGCCCTTTATGTAAGATTTATTAACAAAAAAATACTACTTTGGATTAAATATACTGTAGACAGGCAAGGATCTAAGACTACTTCACAAACAGTAAGCCTCAACACCTATGAAATTCCAGAGACAAGCATTACACATATTCTACAGAGGTGTAAACTAAGGCACAGAGATGTTAACTGACTCGCACAGTGTTACAGCAAGTCAGTGGCAAAAGCAGGAACAGAACCACACAAACCCAGTCTCCCCTGTTCCAACTACTAAACAACCCCCCTTTTTTCTTATATCTAAGTGGCTCAAATATACCACTATTTTTCTCTGCCGGCTAGTATGATTTTCTTCTTCTAGCAGAAGGATCACTCAAAATTCATTTATGTGAGAATTTTCTGACCACTAGAAAACAGAACATGAATTAAAATACAGACTAACACTTCATTAGACAAAATTGTAAAAAATCTGAGGAAAATTCAGAGACAAGAATACCAAACTTGCCAGTGAAGCATTGTATGTTCTCTTAAGTGAATATTAACTGAAATTTACAAACCGCACTTTAAAATGTACCCCTGCTACTCTAGGTGATTCAGCACTTCTAGAACATACTGAGAGTCTACATGCTACAGCTGGACCAAATAATGAGAAAATAAAAGTAACACCCTAAACTATCTTGAAGTTATACACAGACAGTTGAATTAAAAGCACTGATATCTGGCAAGTATTTCAGGGTATTATTTCAATTTCATTGTAAGATTATTGACTGGACTCCTAGTTACATTTAAACCCATTATAACCACTCTCTCTTAATAAAGATTTTTCATTAGAAAAATGTGTAATTACTTGGGATGGCCTTTAGGGGCCTGATCCAATGCCAATTGACATCAATGGGTATTAGGTAAGGCACTATAAAAGGTGTGAAGAGTACAAAACTATGGAAAGGATTTTCAGTATTTAATTTTGCAAGAGAAATTGTCAGATAAAAAAGGCACCTGCAGCACTGAAGGATTCTTGGACATCAGAAGAGTTTTGTTCTCTCTCTCTCACATAAAAAGTGAGTTGAGTTGGCTTAAAAGACTTAAATCCTGGTTTCTGGAGATTCTCCAAATAGCCATTTAACCTCTTAAGAGAGTTTTCATTGATTTCCTGTAGAAAACAAAATAAGAGCCACTGTAAATACTTAACTTTGTCCACTTTCTCAACATAGCATATTTATTTAAAAGTAGGCTAACAGTGTTAGTTTAATAAGATACAACTAAATTTCAAAATATTAAACATAGTTCACAATTCCATGAAAACACATCAATGTATTCCAGATAGAAAGGTGACTGAGTAATTTTATTAAAAAATTGTCTTCATTGCATGAATAGCTGCCTTGATGGTAGATAAGGGTAAACGGAAGTTAAAGCATATATAATGTTCAAGATAGCTTCCAAAACCAGGTAAAAATTAGGTTTGATTAAAAGTAAAAGGTCATTCTTTGTAAGGGTTGTCTCAGGTTTAAAAAAAATAAAATGGAGTGTTGCATTAGTTCTATGTTTTGTATGGATCAAGACTCCAGATTGTCAGAGACAGCAATGCATAGTGAAAGGCTGATTAGTGAGTTTGGGGATATACTTTGTCCAAATTATAAGAATTTGCTGGACATTATCTTCTTAAAGTTCTATTTTCCTAATCACCGATATCAATCATTTTAGTTCTACAATAGGTAGATCAAGCTTTGACAGCGTAAAAACTAAACTAATAACATACTTCCATTCTTCACATACCATATAAATGAAAACACCATTAGAAACAAAAATATATTTTTACCCTTTCTCTGGGATGCTGGCCAAAGAAATCTGGATGCACAGCAAAATAGAAAGGTCTGAGAGCATTGACGGCTTCAGCACCTGACAAAGATCTTGTCTGAAGAACCCACTGTAGCAATATTTTCTCCAGACACAACCTAACAAGGTAATAAAATCTTTATGTATTAAAGTAACCACCAAATAAAAAAGTAATATAAACTACATAAAAGTAATGTTACCAAAACGGTGCAAACAAACACTCATATGAAATACAATCACTTAAAAATAAGCCATACTAGAAGGCTGGATTTTGTCCCATGGGATCTACAAAATCCTATTTAACCAGAACAGGCCTACTGTGTTACAAAGATGGTTGATGCTAATGGTTCTGATTAGTGGCATTCAAAAAGTGGTATTTGGAGAAGGTAAGGTATGCATGTTATAAGTTTATATATGAAATCCTCCACACAAATACCTCTTTTAAACACTGGTGATTGGAATAGTCAGAGGTACTAAGGGCTGCCATCTTGGAATTGTTTCTCAAAGTCAATGCCCATAACTTGAAGGTACGAAAGTAGCTAAGAAGTTTAATATTTGTAAAGCACTTTGCTATTCTTGGATGAAAAGTGCTATAAAAACAAAGCATTAGTTCTGAGCTAAAAAAACACCTCAGTTACTTACCTTCTTGTAACTGTTGTTCTTTGAGATGTGTTGTTCATGTCCGTTCCAATTAGGTGTGCGCGCACTGCGTGAATGGCAGCTGGAAGGTTTTTCTCCTAGTGGCCTTTGTCGGGTCGGCCCGGGCGGCCCCTGGGGTCGCACCTTCATGGTGCTCAATATAGGGGCCTGTCTACCCACCACCCCCTCAGTTCCTTCTTGCTGGCTGCTCGGACAGATGGGTAGGAGGGCGGGTATTGGAATAGACATGAACACATCTCGAACAACAGTAACGAGAAGGTAAGTAACCGTTTTTTCTTCTTTGAGTGCTTGTTCATGTCAATTCCAATTAAGTGGATTACCAAGCCCAAATTTTGGAGGCGGGGTCAGAGCTCAAAGGTTCACTGACTGTAGCACTGCTCTACCAAAGGCTGTATCATCTCTGGCCTGCTGGGTAATAGCGTAATGCGAGGCAAAAATGTGTATTGATGACCATGTCGCTCCTCTGCATATTTCCTGGGTTGGAACATGCAGCTGATGAAGCCTGTGCCCTCGTGGAGTGCGCTGTGAGCGGAGGGGCAGGAGACAGAGTTGGAAAATAGAGTTCGCGACATCCGGGCGCAAGGACCACTCATGGCCGTGGAACAACCTGCTGAGATAGTCTGCCAACTCGTTCTGTACCCCGAGGAGGATCGAGTGAGCTATGCAAAAGTCCCACAGTCTAAGGGGTTCCTGGCACAGGGGAGAGAAGCGTGCACCTCCGTCTATATAAAACATCACTGTCATGTTGTCTGTCATGACTGATACACATTTCCCCTCCAGATGAACTCGGAAGGTCTGGCATGCTAGGCGGACTGCTTTCAAATCTCTGATGTTGATGTGAAGGGAGAGCTCCGCCTAGGACCAGAGACCTTGTGTCCTGAGGTCTCCCAGGTGTGCCCCCCCACCCCAATGCTGACACGTCCATCACCATCAAAAGGGATGGGTGAGGTCTGGTGAAGGGGAGCCCCGCACACCTTACCTGCGGGTCGAGCCACCACAGGAGGGACTTGAGGACTGGATGAGGCAGAGTGACGATCTTGTCCAGACCGCCCCGAACTGGGCGATACACCGAGGCTAGCCACGCCTGAAGAGGCCGGAGTCTGAGTCTAGCGTGCTGTACTACATAGGTACAAGCGGCCATGTGTCCCAGAAGCTTCAAGCAATTCCTTGCTGTGGTTGTAGGGAACTGTCTGAGGTTTTGAATGTTGTCACCCAGGGACCGGAACCACGATTCCGGGAGGTACGCTGTGGCCTGTGTGGAGTCTAGTACCACTCCTATAAACTCTATCTGCTAAACGGGAGACAGAGTTGATTTTTGCGCATTGAGAAGAAGGCTCAGTTCGTCGAAAGTTGCTCTTATGAAGCCAAGTTGTGCCTCCACTTGCGTCCTGGAGCGGCCCTTGATTAGCCAGTCGTCGAGGTACAGAAACACCTGTACCTATCGCTTGCACAGGAACACAGCCACAACTGCGATGCACTTGGTAAACACTTGAGGAGCCGCTGACAGGCCAAATGGGAGGACTGTGAACTAGTAGTGCTTGAGGTTCACCATGAATCTGAGGTACCTTCTGTGGGACAGCATAATCTAAATGCGAAAGTAAACATCCTTCAAGTCAAGGGTGGCATACCAGTCCCCTGGATCCAAGGAAGGGACAATGGAGGCCAAAGAGACCATGGGGAACTTCAGTTTCTTCATGAACTTGTTGAGATCTTTCAGGTCTAGAATGGGCCTGAGGCCACCTTTGGCTTCCGGTTTTGCGCAATACCGGGAATAGAAGCCCTAGCCCTTCAGCTCCAGAGGAACCTCTTCCACTGCCCCAGCAACAAGAGCAAGTGCACCTCTTGTATGAGGAGTTGCTCATGAGCAGGGTCCCTGAAGAGGGACAGGGAAGGGGGGTGGAAGGGCACAGAATTGGTGGGACTATCCCCTTTCTACCATGCGGAGTACCCAGCGATCCGATGTAATACAGGCCCACACAGGGAAGAAAGGGGACAGTCGGCACGAGAAGGTAAGGTGGTATGGATCCAGTGTCCAGACTGGTGCATCGCCCCTGGGAGCATCTTCACAAGGTCTGCTACTGGCCAGCAGACTGCTTCGCCTGACCAGAGCCCTGGCCTGAAGAGTGGGGCCTCTTTCTGTTGTTTCTACCCCACCTGCGGGAGAAGTCCTGCCTATTTTGAGGCTGGTATAAAGACGGTGGGGGGCTGCGGTGTAAATGTTTCTGCTGGTTTGCCGGAGTGCGGAGGCCCAGAGACTTGAGGGTGGCCCTTGAGTCTTTCAGGCTATGAAGCCAGGAGTCTGTTTTCTCCAAAAACAGGGCCGAACCCTCAAAGGGGAGGTCTTGAATTGTTTGCTGGACCTCATAAGGAAACCCAGACACCTGTAGCCAGGTGCTCCGTCTCATGGCTATACCCAGTAAGTCTGCCACATCAAGGGCTGCCTGAAGTGAGACTCAGGGAAACCAGTTTTCCTTATGCCACTAGAGAGAATTCTGCCCTGGAGTCCTCCGGCAACAAGTCCGTGAATTCGGCCATCGATCTGCAGGAGTTGTAATTGTACCTGCTGAGGACAGCCTGGTGGTCAGAGATCCGGAATTGTAGCTCCCCCAGTGGCATAAATTCTCCTCCCAGAGGTCCATCTTTTTTGCCTCCCGATTTTTTGGGAAGGGGCCCTAGCAGCCTTGCCGCTCCCGCTCATTCGCCTTGGCTACCACTAGGGAGTCTGGTGGAGGGTGGGTATAGAGGTGCACGAACCCTTTAAAGGGAACGAAATACCTCCACTCATTCCACTTTGCCGTTGGTGGCAAAGAGACTGGAGTCTTCCACATCTTAGTGGTCTCTTGTATGGTCCATATCAGAGGCAGGGCGATACAGGAGGGACCAGAAGGGGCAAGGATGTCCTCCATCGGGTCAGAGGACTCGACCACCTCCTCAGCCTGGGTGCCCACATTTTGCACCACCCTGTGCATCAGTTGTTGGAGCACCCTCCTCTAGGGCTGGGGCCATTGATGTGCACACCATTGCCTTGTCAGGCGAGAAGGACGACGAGGCCCTAGTCGGGAGTGGTTCCTGCTTGTTACCCCCGGCGCTGAGGGGATCTCGTGGTGCAGCTGGTACCAGGGCGGCCAGGGCTGGTGCCGCTGTCAGTGCCCCAGCGAGCACGGCTGACATTGATGCCAGAGGTACAGCGACCATCTGGGAGGCTGAGGGCACATATGTCGCCGACTTAGAATAGGACCAGCGGCTCTGGCCCTGGCGGAAGGTCCAGGGGTCCAAAATGGTCACTGGGCAGGGGGCTGCCACTGACCCGGCCACGGTCTCGGTTGGAGATGGTATCCTTGCCTGTGGGACCTCAAACTCCTGCTCCTCCTGGATCGGGAGCAGTAGGACTCTGTAAGATGACCACGGAGGAGCAGAGTGCGTCTGTGCTGGAGAGCGGCATCTAGGGCTAGGGGACTGGTGCAGCTCCCCTACCTGCACGCTTGTTGATGGTACCGGTGATTGGTGCCGAGGGGATGGCAATTGGCACGGCATTATCTCCGGTTTGCCCCTAGATGGCGCCCAGGTCTCATGGGTGGTGCTGAGACCGCTGCGGGCGTCCTGTCCTGTTTCGGGGGCGGGGGGGGGGGGCAGTGCTGTGAGGGCGATCAGGTCTTCAGTTGCCTCGAATGCCTCCAGTGTGGACGGTATTTGCAAGTCACGGTTCTCCCAGACAGGGGAGGGGAGGGGGTCCAGACTCAACTGGTCCTAGGGAGAGTCAGGAGTCAACGCAACCTTCAATGTGGATGCCGAGCTTGTGTGACCCGACGCGGGTCTCATAGAGGCGGGCTCCTTCAGCGCTGCTCTGGGCGTGGTGGAGCGTCCCCTCTCAGGTCTTCTCTTCTTGTGGGGGACTGGAGAATGAGAGTGCGCGGAGCTCCTATGAGGAGATGCCTGCCAGTGCCAAGAGTCTCTATTGGAGTCCTTTCTCAGTGCCGACTCATGTCCCGACGGTTCCAGGGCACTGTGCCCTGGTGCCGAAGTGCTCAGCGTTGGCTCCGCTGAGCCGGGGTCCGAATGGGCATGCAAAGCAACCTCATTTAGCAGTACTTTGAGGTGCTGCTCCCTCTCTTTTTGGGTCCTCAGCCGAAAACCTCTGCAGATTTTGCAGCGCTCCTTGAAGTGGCATTCCCCCAGACACTTCAGGCAGGAAACATGAGGGTCACTTTTTGGCATATGCTTGCCACAGTCTATGCAGGGTTTAAACCCTGGGGATTGAGGCATGCCCCAGTATCAGGGAAAAAAGGGGGAGTGTGATGGTGTACCCCATGAGGCTTTATGGAAATATGCTTATGAATGTATATATGACATAACTGGAATATGTTTTATGCTACACATGCCATGTAACATATCTCTGTAAAGGTAATGATCTACTGAATACATTCCTCCTATTTGTATGCATGTGTCATTGTTGTATTTGAAGTTATGAATATTGGCTGTGTACTTGCTTGATTTCTAAGTAGCTTTAGTAAAGCATTTGGTCAGCTTCTTGAGAAAGGAATGTGCAAATCAAGAAGCACTTAAAGGACAATGAATCTTGGAAGGTTCCAATCCACATAAGAAGTCTACCTGAGGACGTTCAGGGTAGCATGTAAACAATGGCTGCTGCCAGTAAAAACTGAGTCATGCATGGACATGTGACTTGCCCATGTGACTCCAAAACTCCATCTTGGAGCTGGACTTTGCATAGGAGAGAGGAGGTGGTCTCTACCCACAAGAGAAAGTCTATTTAAACCCCTGGGAGACCCCTCCATTTTGTCTTCAGCTGGCTAAAGAGATAGCCTCTCCACCCCCAAGGATACCTGAAAGAAACTGGAACAAAGGACAGTAACTACAGGGGGTGTGAGTGATTGCTGGACCCAGACTAAATGGAGACTAGTCTGTAAAAGGAAGCTTACTGGAATTCCTCTGAGGGAGAGGTTTTTATCTGTATTCAGTTTTCTTACTGTATTAGACATAGACTTGCGTGTTCTATCTTATTTTGCTGGGTAATTCACTTTGTTCTGTCTGCTATTACTTGGAACCACTTAAATCCTACTTTTTGTATTTAATAAAATCACTTTTTACTTATTAATTAACACAGAGTATGTATTAATACTGGTGTGTGTGTGTGTGTGTGCAAATAGCTGTGCATCTCTCTCTATCAGTGTTATAGAGGGCGAACAATTTATGAGTAAAAACAGATTTATTTGGGGTTTAGACCCCATTGGGAGTTGGGCATCTGAGCGTTAAAGACAGGAACACTTCTGTAAGATGCTTTCAGCTAAGTCTGCAGCTTTGGGACACGTGGTTCAGACCCTGGGTCTGTGTTGGAGCAGACTGATGTGTCTGGCTCAACAAGACAGGGTGCTGGAGTCCCAAGCTGGCAGGGAAAGCAGGGGTAGAAGTAGTCTTAGCACATCAGTTGGTAGCCCCAGGGGGGTTTCTGTGATCCAACCCATCACAGGGGGGAACCAAAGGGTGCACCCCCCAACTAAACCTTATCTAAAACTAACACTAACTATACTTTATATATGAACTATTTACACGAAGAAGTTAAAGAAACTAGGGGAACTGCACTTGCAGAGCAAGAGCCACGAGCATTCAGGCTAACTGTCACAGGTGGTAAGAAGGAACTGAGGGGATGGCGGGTCGGCAGGGCCCTATAGTGAGCGCAATGAAGGCGCAACCACAGGGGGCGCCCAGGCCGACCCAACGGAGGCTGCTGGGGAAAAACCTTCCGGCTGCTGTGCATGTGGCATGTGCACACCTAATTGGAATTGACATGAACAAGCACTTGAAGAAGAAATAATCATATTTCAACACAGAGAAGGCATCCCTTGTTCACTTCTGAGAACCACATGCCATGGCTATTTTTAATCCTGAGCAAACTTACTTCATTTCCCAAGCATATTCTTGTATAGAAGACAAAATGATGTAAGGAGGTAGACTGGAGTGAAAGAAAATAAGCTTATTTGAAAATGAGAGTGCTGAAAGTGAGGAAAGATGCAAGAACAGGGGGAAGAAGAGGGATGTTGACAGATTTAATTTCCATCATAGATGAAGAAGATTGTATAAAGTAAGATTTGAAGAGAGGGAGTGTTTGGATGAAGAAATTTAGATAGATCAGAAAGCACAAGTTAAAGGGGGAGCTTCAATTGTGGACAATTAAAGGAGAGAGTTCAAGATTGTAAGAGCAAGTAGTGGGCAAATGGGAGATAGTGTGTCTTTAGTTTTAGAAATTTGTAAATACTGGGATTACAATTCTGAACTGATGTGAAAACTAACAAGATGCAATGAACATGATATGGTTACATTTCCTGCAGTGGCAGAGTTATATAACCACAGCACTCTTGATTGCCCCAGAAGGCTCTCAGGAGGCAGAGCTGAAGTAAGGGCAAATTCTGGCAACATTCTGGAAATGACAAAGAGCAGACTTGCATGGCAGATTAGAGAAATGAGAGGAAAAGGCAAATTCTGGGTAAAAGATCACTAAGGTTTCTGACCATAGTACAAAGTTGTCTGAGTTGTTGTGTTAAATGAACAGGACAGCACTTTTATAAATACCAAGGGCAGCGTGTAAATGGTAAATGTTTAACAATGGAATTTTTCCTTCCCGACTGATCTCACATAGCATACTAATTAATTTACCATGAGAAGTCATTTTTCCTTCATCATCTTAGTTTCAAACTGAATGTGAATGCTGATGGAAGAGCACTTCAGTTCTGTTCAGCAGTAAAACACTTTAAATGAAAGACACTGTATAAATTTAAAACTATAGACCAAAACCCCCCCCCCCCCCCCCCCAAAACCCCACACTTCACAAAATTAAATACAAGGCAGACAAAATCATAGTATGGTCAGAGGTTGATAAACTCGAGACAGGCGAATAAATGAAAGATAAGAGGCATAACTGCATATCTTTCACATAGAAATGATGACCATATAAAAATAATAAGACAGCCTTATAAAACTCCATTCACCTGATTTCCTGGGGTGAGTAATTTTACTGGAGAATAAATTGTGATGAACATTTCTTTTTGTCTACTCCTACCCTATAAAAGAAGTTGGCTAACAGATTTTTTTTGTTTTTTTGGGGAGGGGGAGGGGAGTTGGGGAGGAGAGTATGTGCCTGGACTGTTAAAATTATCTTGATAATTTTGCAAGGCTGAAATAAGATGACCAAAAGGGAGATCAATCAATCGAGTTTTATTGCACTTGCCAAATGCCTTTGCAAACAAACACCATAGTCAAATTGCAGTTAGTTCAAATTTTATGAGATCTAGTAAAACCATCATCAACAAACCCAAGAAAGACGACCCAAGAACGTTTTACAAGCCAAGATCTGTGCAAATATGGATATTCTGAAAATCAAATAACTTAAGAGAAAGTCAGTGCAATATGAAGATAACAACCAGATGGTTTGGTCTTTGGGAGCCATCTTTTCTTTTCCAAAATCATTAAATAGTGAGTCAAATTAAAATAGAACTTGCATAGATCCATAACATTTTAGGGTCATCTCCAAATCTCTTTTACACCACTTGGGCAGCAGATTCATTCATGTGAATACCTTTCCATCCAGCAATTAAAACAAGGTCAGATATCAGAGTCTCATGTGCATGTCTAAATTTTATTTTTAACAATTTTTTTAAAACAAGTATTGAGATCTCAAGTTGAGATAAGGACCCTGATCTTGTTTGTCAGTATCTCTAACACTTTGGTCAGGGCTTAAATTCTCCCCAAGTATTTCCCGGGGCTTGGTGCCAGGGCTCCCGCAGGTTTGAAAATATTTACCAGAGCTCTGTTCTGGATGGCTCTGGCTGAATTTAAGCCCTGCCCTTAGTTAACAACAAAACAACTGATGAGGCTAATAAAAAAGGGTAGGTGAATATTTAAGATTCAAATAAACTTGCAGGGCTTGAAGAATTCATCTGACCATGACAAGCACAAAGCTTTCTCTGACGAAGATGGGGAGCCCTTACAGTTAAAAAAAATAACCTTTGAAATGTGAACCAAATGTAAACCAAAGCAACACAGTCTTGTATTGGCAGAGAGACAACTCTACCACCTCTTCTGTTACTCCTAGTTTTGTCAAGAATCAGAGTGAAATTACCAAGACTGGTCAGCTTCACCACTGTTATTCAGGAAAGGACAGTAGTAAAAGTTACCCCTCCCATATACAACTTCTTTGCAGTAACCAGGAGGCTCTGAGGCAGTAAGAGAAAGGAGTGTCTGGAAGGGAAAATCTAAGTACTTTACATTTAATCAGACACAGTTAGAAGCTCATACAAAAGATAGTCTGAAAAAAAGATCCATGGATAATACCCATACAAGAATGTCAGCACCCTACCCCTTCATAGTTGCTTGGCAAGGGGCCTAGGCTCCCTGTACCTTACCTGTTCCCATCTTTAAAAGTTACCTCTGGCTAAAGTACAAGGTTTTCCTCATAAGTTTAAAAAAAAAAAAAAAAAGGTTGAGACATACAAATCACATTTATCCAAGATCTTAATGAGAAAATGGCGATAGATGGGAAACAAAAAAAATAAAACTGCTATATGTAACATTACCATGGTAGAAGGTAGGCTGAGGATCCTAGCAAAAAACTATTCTGAACTTACTCAAAGGAGGAACACTCACAGACCATAATTAACCTATGTAACAGAATGAAGAATATACACAGAAAAGATGGAAGACAGATCTTGAGGCATCCCATAGCTGTAGGGAGAAATTAAGAAATTAAAATTTATGTAGAGAAAAAAAATGCAAAGAAGGTGTCCTTGGCTTCTTGCTCAAGGAGTGATCAATTTTCCCCAAAACCGCATTCAGATTAAGGAGGATAAGAAGAGACAGGGATTCATGTTCAAAAGCAAAATCATTACCACCAAGAGTAGGGCAGTCTCACTATTGTGAAAGATATTATCAAACACAATCTCTGCTACAAGATGTTATGCAACAGGATTGCAAGACAGAATCATTGATGAAATAATACTCCCTGTTGAAGATTGTTGTCAAAATCTATTAAACATAACTTTTTCCTGTAGCTTTCGCATTGAATATCTTTGTTAAAAGTAATTTACTTTACCCTTACAGTTCACTTTATCTGTAATTCTGAACTTTAATAGCATAAGAATTCAGTTATATTTTGGATATTTAATTTTAGCTTTGTTATATCACCTTATTTCACCCAATAAAGCCATACTCAAACCTATGTTCTGTTTAGCCTGTGTCTAACTATTCATCCTCCATTGGATGACTGAATGTGTATTGCAGCTATTGTGGTAAAAATGTCAAATGGCACATGGATAACAAATGACCGATTCAGAGAAAAATTGAAAAGTATTAAACACAAAACCTCCAGCTTTTAATTACTAAGTTAAAGGGTAGATTAATTTGGCAATCAATCTTACCTCCTCACAGCCCCCAAATGGCAAAACATCTCACTGCTTATGCTCAAGTCAACTTTCAGACATCCGCTAGATCACTTAAAGAAGAATACAAAAAGAAAGTATATTTAATGATTGTGTCCATGTATATTTCCCCCTTTCAATTCTCTAAAAAACTGTTTTACAATTTAAGTAACAGTGGCAATGAACAATTAAGAAAATCCACAATGCAGGATTTGGTTTTACACAAGGATGCTTTTAGATTTTTTCCTAAGCTACAGGAAAAAAGTATCCTTTAGTAAATTATGTGATAAAACGTGTACTCTGTATTAATATAGGTGGATTTGAACTGACACTATTTGAAAATCTTAAACAGAATAATTTAAAGATACTCCAGTTTCTGGTGAGTATGGCTTTTAAAAAAAGTCCTTTGATATATTTAAAATGTTTTTCAATCTCACTGTTGTTTTTTATAACTGTCTTTTCAGCACAGGAGAAATTGATTGGCTACAAGGGGGAAACAGTGAAATTGACTATGAACAAAGTGCCCTCAAATCCACAAAATAAAACAAAACAAAAATAAAGCAAAACAGTTTTCCACCCAAACTTCTTCCAGTTATCTTAGGTGCTACATTTAACTTCAAATTTTTTAAAACAAAGTTTTCAAGTTGGTTGTGTCCCCTTAAAAACAGGTGGCAGATACAAAACCAATAAAAGAAAATATTTTTTCATACAATGTATATTAGATATGGAATCCAGCGCCATAAGATATCGAGGCAAAAATCTTAGCAGATTTCAAAATGAAATTAGCAATTTTTTGTATGGATAACAAGAAAATCTAGAATTACTGTAATAAACACTAAATAAACCAACCAACCAAAAGCCACCAAACAGTTTTGGAAGGGCTTAAGCCAATTTCTAACTACTGAGGGTTAGGAGGGAGTATTTCTGGAGGCAGATTCTCTCATAACTGCCTGCTGCAGTTTTCTTGCGTCTTCCTCTGAAACATCTGGTGTTGGCTACAGTATTAATTATGTTATTAAACTGATCAACTGAACACACACAGAATTATTTCATCTGCACCCTAATCAAAAGACAGTTGTGTCTGAGCAAAACACAACTTTATTTCCTCAAACAAACTAGATTTATACTGCACTCCACTTGTAACACCAAAGTCTTTGGGAATAAAGCATCATTTTTGCCTTATCACTTCAGAACTCAAAGTGAATATATTTGGTTTCATAGTCCTATTGAGCCTTACTTCTCAACCGTAACATGAAGGGAGAGTGACATGCAAAAAGTTACTGCATTTTAAAAAAAACAAATCTGTCTTTAAATTTTAATGTATTTTTTCAATTTTTATAGAGTGTTAATCAAGTGATACCTAGGGAAGCTTGAAACAAATTGTGTTTTAATAGTCCATTCACCATATATTTTTAAAAACAGCCCTAATAATTTTTGCTTTAATACTTTTGGAATTCTCCATAAATCTAGGGCCAAACACTTCCCTACGTCAAGTATAAGGGTATTGGCTAATATGTATGTAGGCCTTTTTTTTCCCTTTTGGAAAGGCATAAAATAGTTCAGCATAATTGGCTCCTCAAGGGAAGCAGCATAGTGTGTGTATAAGTAGTCACTGCTGTCAGTTTCTCACATTTAACTGAGCACTTGATTGCTGTGAGCATTCCCAGCAGTATGCTGAACTGAACAACTGAACATTCCAGGTATACCAATGTTAGTAAGAGTGACAGATGTCATGAACAGGCAAAAGCTGAAGGAGTTTAAATACAAAGGAAATATTCACTTTTCTCATGCAGCACAAAATCTGCTATGGTTAACCAGTTAAGTCAACAATTTGATCACTTTTCTAAAACAATTTTAAAAACCCCAACATACTCTTTAAAATAGCGTGTGATTTGGTGAAAGATTTTTGTAGATTCTAGTCTTATGCCTGCTGAAGCAGCTACCCATTTCCCTAACTGGCCAGACTGCAGCATGGTTACTTCAACAACAGTGTATACAGAATGAACTAAAACATTCATATAAACATTTTAGCTACAACATTTCCATAGGTTAAGAGTACAACACTAGAGCTGGTTGTGTGGCTTTTTGCTACCTCAGGCAAATTCAGAGTGGTCATAAGCAGTGCAAATACAAAAATTCAAAGACTTGAGTAGGTTTTTAAAATAGAATTTGCTGGGTGCTTCATCAGATATCTCCAGACTGCAAAAACTGCCTTAAAATTAAAATCTAAAATGCGAGTCTTTAGCTCTATGCAAGAGAGAATGAAGCAGGGCCGATTTGCCAACAGGAATATTTAAAAGACACCATTGAAATCCACACCATTAACAAGTGACTAAACATTTTGCTGCCTCAGACAGACACCTGTTGGGCCTATGCTGCATTATGTAACAGATCTGAGATGCAGTCATGTAACTGCAGTTCCAAATCAAAGCCTCTGGTGAGACACAGGAAGGGAGGCGTTTGGGTCTCCAGATGAGCAGCGCAGGGTGCCAGAACGCTTCTGCACTCTCAGCATAAATACAGAAGAAGTTTACAAAACACAAGCCAAGTATCTTCCAACTCTTGACCATCCAAAGCGTATAAGGCCAGAGGGCACCATGTAGCTTGATCTCTTGTGTATGACAGGCCACCAACATCTCCTAAACTAGCCTCAAGTATTACAGCCCAGGGGAGGTCAGTCTGCATCCAGACCCTGACCAGAGCAGCCCTACCCCAAGACCCCACGAAGGGCGCTCAGACGCATCAGCCCAGCCCAGCCCCTCCTGGCGGGCTGCGTTTCCGTGGGGTGACTGGTTTAAAATCCCGTCTCTCTGAGGGTGGGTCCGAGCCAAGGCGGGCGTGGGCAGCGCCAGTCACCTGGCCCCGCACAGCACGGGCGTTACAATCCGGACACAAAAAGGGCTGCCTTCAAAAGCGGCAGGGGCTCCATCCACCGTGTGACGGGAAAGCGCCGCCCCCGGCCTGGCTCCCTAAGACAGCGGGCCCGGCAGAGCAGCGGGATCCCGCGGGAAGTTTTAAACGAGCCACGTGGAAACCGATCGCTGTCTCGGCCCAGCCCGGCCCGCTAGCGCGTTCAGCGGGCAGCTCCCGGCCTGTCCCCACCCGGGGTCGTGGGCCAAGGAAAGGCCCGTGAGCGCAGAACCCCACGAGGGCAGCGGAGGCCCTGACACTCCCCCGAGATACGCAGGAGGCCAGCAGCCGCCGTGCCGCGTCAGGCCCCCCAGCCCCCTTACCTCAGCGTCGTGACAGCGGCCCCTCCCCCCGCCTGCCGGAGCTCGGGCCCCATCGCGGGGCGCGCGCGTAGGGAGCCGACACTCAGTGACCCCCCCCCTCCCGAGAGGGAGGAGAAGGAGGCGCGGCCTGAGGGGCGGGGTCGCCGCCGTCACCTTCCCACCTCCCGAGTAGGTTCCTCTCCTCCGCCCACGCTCCGGGTCGCGCGCTGGCCCCTCTTCGCGCGCAGCCGCGTCACCTCGCGCGTTCCTCCAGCCCGCGACCAAGAAAGAGACCGCGCGCACCCCTAGCCGTCAAAGTAGCCGCGCATGCGCGAGAGCTCTGCCGTGCCCAAGCGCCCCGGTGGAGGATGTTTAATTCTCGCAGGCAGAACATAACGGTCCCGGTGCCGAGGGACGGCGGGGCTAGGCCCCCGAGCCCCGCACACGCTGAGGAACGGACTCTCCCGATCTCCCCCCCCCCGCGGGGCAGGCCCGGCCGCCGTTACCGGGCTCCTCCGCAGCGGCAGGCCCCAGGCTCGCTACGCCGCCGCCCCGCACTCCTACCCCAGCGCGGCTGATTTCAGCCGAGTGGAACCGGCCGGAGTTTAGCGGCTCCCACCGCGCGTGTAACGTTGGGGGTTTCACCCTGTTAGCCCCAAGGCCTTGCCTGTAACCGCACACGCCGGAGCCGCACGCCCCTGAGCGCCCGCTGCTGCAACTTCTTCCGCGGGATTTTGGGAGTGGGGGCCTGGCAATGTCTCCTCACCCCGCACCGGGAGTAGCTGGCCTGGCTGGGGAGCCCCGCGCTGCTCTTTCTCGGAGCTGGAAATCAACGTTCACTACTTCTGAACGCAGCTACCCAGCAACAGGAGGCGGGTGGCACCTTAATGACTAACAGATTTATTTGGGCATAAACTTTCGTGGGTAAAAAAACCCACAGAAGTGGGATTGTGGGGGTTTCACGAAAGCTTATGCCCAAATAAATGTTAGTCTTTAAGGTGCCACCAGACGCCTTGTTGTTTTTGTGGATACAGATTAACACGGCTACCCCCTGATACTTGGGAGCTACCCAGCAATTGATATTTATTTGGGAGCTAGAAGTGCAAGCAAAGGGGACATTGTATTCCTTTTAAATAAACACAGAAAGTATGCCCTGAGGTCAGGGCCGGATTAACTTTTTGTGGGCCCGGCCCCAAACATATTTGTGGGCCCCCATTGGGGAAATAGGGCATGTGATGGGGGGCCGTCCGCAGAGCAAGGGGCAGTTGGGGGCAATGAGGCACAGTGGGAGTGGCCCCACTCAGCCCAGCACAAGGGCACTGTTTACAAACCCCAAACTGTTAGACGCCCAGCCCTGTGCTGCCAGCGTGCCCCTTCCCCCAGAGACTTCCCCCACAGATCCCTATGCCCAGCACCCCCTGCCTAGAGACCCCTCCCGCTGACATCCCATCACAACTACACAGCACCCTGCACACCATACCCCCTGCCCAGCTCCCCCACCCACAGATCCCCTACTGTCCAGCACCCCCTTCACAGTCCCACCATCACAGCTGTACAGTGCCCCATATTCCTGAGGGAATTCTGCATCAAATTCTGTGCATAATATTTTAAAATTCTGATTTTTTTTATAATAAATAAATGTGGAAGCTCCACCATGGCAGTGGGGAGCACAGGCCACTGGCTGCATGGAGGTGGGAGAATACCCTGCAGCCTCCCCCACTCCCCCTGGGACAGGGACGTGGCAGTGAGACTGAACCTGACCCTGACAGAGCACTGGGCCAGGCCTGCCTCAGAAACACCCTGGGGCCCTGCCCCTTTTGCGTCAGGTACACCAGATATGGGCAGGGAGGCTCAGCCCAGCAGCAGGATCCAAGTGCAGAGGGACTTAGTGTGGGGGTATCCAGATGGGGGTAAGAGGGTTCTGTGGGGGGCAGTCTGGGTGCAGGCAGCTCAGTGGGGGATCTGGATGCTCAGGGAGGTGCCAGGTGCAGGGGCAATGGGAGTCTGCAGGGGGGACCAAGTGAAAGTGGTTGGAGCTCAGCGGACAGGGAGGGGGGGAGTTTGGGTGCAGGGGAGGTGGGGTTGTTGTACTTAAAGTACTTAACAGGATCTTTTCAGGGGAAATAAGGCAAACGCTACATTCATTGGAAATACATGCATCAATCAACACGGTATCATATGCATATGATCTATATTACACTCATGCACTCACATACACACACAAACACACTTGGTCTTCTTGTTACCAACTAGTTGCTCCCCTTAACTTCACTGGCCAGGTGAGTTAGATAGAGGAGGGGTGGAGCCGGGCTTCTGCCGATCTGGATCAATGCTCCTATGTTGACAAGTCCCAGCGTCCTCTGCAAGACACCTCACATTTATAGCAGCTTCCCTCTCATGCAAATCTATACCAGATTCAAAATCTGTGTCCCTTGGTCCTTTGTGCTGCTTCTTTCTGGG